CGATGAAATTATTTAACAACATTAATAGACATCGCACAAACCAAATGATAGTATTTGAAGATGAACTGTAAACCAACCAGATCCTTAAACAACAACAACAACAAGGTCTATGGAATACAGTGTCTTTACACTGTTGTCAGAATATGGAAAATTATAAATGATTAAGAACAGGTCAAATCTGGCCCTCGAGCCATAGGTTGTTGTTAAATCTACCTAATTTATAAGGTTGTTGTGGGTAAATGAATTGCATGCCCTGTACCTGAATGTCACAGAGCGAATGGGGTCCGTGTCTGAGTTTTCAATGGGAACATAGTGGAAGGGCTCATCCCACTGGTTATCTGGATCTTCTTCCTGGTCCTCAGAAAACTTACAATGATACAGGTAACCTGAGTCAAAGCCTCCCTGCAGATGAGAGGGAAAAAAAAAACCTAATTTTCAAAAGAGTAAGCACACACTTCAAACTTATTAAAGAGCAGATAATGACAGATCCATTGGTGAGTGATGGGGGCGCTACAGGGGCCACTCCATCCTTTGTAATTCAACTGGATTGGGGCCATGTCAAAACTATGCCTGCCCCCCAAAGTCAATATAAATGTAGTAACCTTAAAATGTTTTACATAATTATATTTTTGTACATAATTATATTATATTTTTTGACAAAAGAGTCAAAGGTAAGTGCATTCTAGGAACAAGTGGAACGAATAGCTGTGACAACAAGGCTGACAAATGTGGCATGTTACAAAAACGTCTGCACACAGACCTGCAGGGGGCGCACAAGGCATATAACTGATTAGTGGTGGGTTGATCATAGGTATAATTTGACTGCATGAAGACATAAACTGGTTAACATAATAAATACATTGTGGCACATACTAGTACATTTTTGTCTTGTTTTTGTAATCTGCAGTGCCTTCTTTTGTAGATATTGTCAAGCCCGAGACTATTTCAAACACTTTGTCTTCTGACAAAACTCACTGAACAGGAACAGAAAAAAAATGGCAAATAATGGCTCTGCGTGGCAAAAATTAAGAAAATGATTCAATAGTCATTAGTCACACTTAACAGTATGGGAGTCTATCCTATACTGTGTCCAATTAGTTTCAGAAATATGCATTAACCAATCAGCTCAGCCGTAACATCCCCTCTCTCTAGTTCTGTGGTTTCTTGTTAAAACTCTGTGTTAACATGGTGGTTTAGTAATAAGAAAAAAAAATAATTTTGATGAGTGATCCACAAAAAATGGTTTCTAGTCAACTCTGTGGGTGTATGTCTGTGTGTGTGTGTGTGTGTGTGTGTGTGCGTATTTATATATACCATCGATAGCCAGAAGTGTCCAGGCTTTGAATAGAAACCACAGTAGATAGGACTCGGACACACAGGGATGTGGACAGGTGGTAACTCTTCTTCGTCTTCATCTTCATCTTCAACTTCATCTTCTTCTTCTTCTCTTGTGTCCTGCTTATTTTCTTCCACCTGCTCTGATTCAATTCTTAAAGCCACTCTTCTTTCTCTTTTCTTTTTCTCTTCCTTTAAAGCTTGACGTCTTGCAACTTCCTCCTCTCTCTGAAACACCACATACACATACACACACTCACTGTTAGAGTATATTTTACTCTTTTGTAAAAATAAGTTTCATCATTTACTTTCCTCCCACTGCTGCCTTTTTTCATCTTCTTGTGTAATTTTGTTTTAAATGATTGGATGAATTGATGATGAATTTCGATACAAAAATGTGAAAAATGAACTGATACTAATGGAGGAATCGATTAACAAAAATATACTGTGTGCTGTGAACCAAAGGTTTACATTTTTGAATTCAGGAAAATAATGTCTTGGCCTCAGATAAAGCAGTGCAGAGTTTAGACACTGACGGTGTACTTGAGGTGTTGGATTTACAGCTTTGAACTACAGCATTATCTCATTAAAAAGACATTGTACAATTAAAGGTAAAAAGAAAAACAGACCTTGATTCGTGATTTGATGCTCTGTACAATTAAAGGTCAAAGAAACCAGACCTTGATTCGTGATTTGATGCTCTTGAACCGAAATGTTTTCCTTGGTAGATCCAGCAGCTGGAAGGTCTTAGCAGGTTTCTGAGCACCTGGATCAGGTCTGTGCACCTCTACCACGTGACCACTCTGACAGAAGATTAGTAGTCTGCTCTCACTCTGAGTAAAAAGAAAGTTGGACAAACCTTTACTGTAGACCTTTTATGAAGGGGAATGTAGGCTGTTAGCAGTGACGGTCCTGTGGGGACTAGACTTACCTGAGGATGAGGAGACCACTGCAGCCTCTGAACTGGCCCAGGAACATGAATGAAGCCGATGGGGCTGTAAGTTTCTCCGAGAGCAAAAAAGAAAACAGTGCAGTCGGAGCTCTGAGCACAAAATTGAAATTTACAATTAAATAACTTAGACCTTGACAAAAACAATCAAATAACACATTTATAATTAGGAAATGAAAACAGCAACAACGACAACAACTGTGAAGATGAACATTTTATCAATAAACACACTTCTCACCCCTGTGGCTAAAATGTCTGTCTCACAAGACAGAGCGGTGACAGCAGCCTTGTGGGGTTTAAAGGCCTGCTGGAGGCGGAGCTTGACATCTCCACTGGTGTTGGGCCAGGTGAGTTGATGTGGTGTCTCAGTGCTATACAGCTGCAGCAGTCGGACCACACCGTCTTCAAACCCAATTATCAGTAAACCTCCGCTGCGGTGAACCTGTAGAGGATGTTTAGAGGTCGCTATAAACAACGTCAATTTAAAAAGGTCTTAGTCAGTATATAAAAATGAGTTAGAATTTGCCAATTAATTAAATACGATTTTTGTCTTCTTTGTGATTTATTTTATTATCTCTTACCGAAGGTGGAGCCCAGGCCAGAGCTGTTCCGCCCTGATTAAAACGGCTGCATGTCAGTTCTTTTTTGGCCAGGAAATCAAAAACTCTAACTGAACCTGGACAGAAGCCAAAGAGTGCATGTAATGATGTGTGTACGGGACTATGTAGCTGCAGTTACGGTACACTACGGTGGACCCACGGTCTAGAGAAGTCGTTGCCATGAGGTGGGACTTCTGTGAGACATCCAGGCCCTGTATTACTCCAGCATGAAAGGAGAACAGACACTCTGGATCTGGAGTCTGTCAAAAAACAAAACAAAATCACACCATATAAATACTAACATAAAGAAGTTTGGATGTTTAAAATTGTTGTGCTTGTGTCACTATAAAGGTCAAACTCACACACACCAAAGGTCATACTGTAGCTCACACTGGTGTTTTAGCTAGGAGTGAGACAGACAGTTGGTTCAAAGCTGCCTCAGTCAGTACATTTGTCTCTGAGGTAAGTGTGAACACAGGATTTCAAACACTGACTTCACCGAAAACACAGGGGGGCAACAACTTTGTTGGCTGTGGGTTCAATTCCCCCTCTTTATTAAGGGAGTTTGGTGAAAGAGCAATAATGACAGAATTTCATGGAAATAGTAAACAGTGACACCTGCTGTAAGGAATGCAGTGGCAGTGCTGTGTATGTGTTGCACATATTTTAGCCAAATCCAAGTAAAGTCTCAAGTCCCAAGTCAAAAGCAGAAGCTGAAAGTCCTTTTTGAATGTGCTCAGAGAATGGTCTTCAGTGATTAAGGCTAAAGTATCTGTGAAGAAAACGACATACTGTATTAGTGAAGGACAGATCCAGTTTCCAGATCCCTCCATTTGAGTCCTAGAGAACAGGGAGACAAGGATCAGGGCCGATGGTTTCCACCGATCATTCATAATCTGGTCCACTGACCTGAGCGAACCAGATGAAGGAGTCAGGTTGAGGACCCTTCACCACAGAACACAGGCAGACATTGTGTCCCACCACCAGCTCGTTCATAGGCTCCATCTCAAACCTGTTGTTGTCCTCAAGACTGTTGGCGGACTGGATGCTCTCAAAGTCCCAGGTCTGTGAAGCAACGACAGACAAATCTACAGAACCTCAACATTAGTTCTGTTTTAGTCAAAAGCAGGCATGGGCAAACCTTCTGACTCAGGGGCCACAATGTGTCCTAAAATTTGACAGGGAGGTCTGACCCAACCCCTCGTCAAATATAAGGACCCATTGCGAAAGCAATCAGTATAATGATAATTTAAACCAATAACATAATTTGGACGAGTTTGGCGGCCCAGATTGAAAAGTCAAACGGGCCGTATCCGGCCCACAGGCCATAGTGTGCCCATGCCTGGTCTAAAAGAATGACGCCCATCTCCTCCGGGACACTGCAATGTCATTTCACCTAAATCATCCTTACCCTCACCACTCCATCAGAGCCAAAGGTCATCAGTTGTCCATCATCCAGAACAAATGGCTGAACTGACCCGCCGTGGCAGCTCCGCCCCTCCTTACGGGAAATCTCCACTTTGACAGCGTTTTCAACCCAGAGCAGTAAATTTCCCCATTCTGTTCCTGACACCACCTGATCAAGAGAAGATTGAAGTTACAGACAGACCTACATTTATGCATCTAGCAGAGGAGGGTTAGCAAAACAAGCTACAAAAAATAACTCGAAAACTTGAAAGGAGGCTGCTAGTTAGGAAAAAGAATGGAATGCAAATACATTTCCATCACACACCAATAAGGATGTTCAATATCGGCCAACCAATATTAGCCTAATATAATAATAAAAATTATTAAAATAATATTGTTATTGTTCCTGTGTTATGAAGGAGTTAACAATTACGGGTACGACAGTGAGGAGGCGTGGTAAGAGCGTGTGTGTGTTTGAGGACGAGTATTGAGGAGAGTGTCAGAGGAGGAAAAGGGAGAAAAGGTGTTTTTCGAGAAGCTAGAGAGCAAATAAGGAGTTTAGAACGAGTTACTGCAATTGTGTTTCAATAAAAATTCATTGCACTACAGTATTTTTAGAGCACACATCATTTGGCCAAACCCAGGCATTGCATTATTGGATTTTCAACGTTTCTTACAGATATTGCTTATCAGAATCGGCAAATGTTAATATCAGACATTATTACATCCCAACAATGACAAAAAATATTTTTACCCTTCCATCTGGAAGCTCCAGGTATCCGTCAATATCGGTAGCTGCAGCTGTTCCAAAGTGTCCCACATGTCCCTGAAGTTTCAGACCTGTGAAAGTACTGGCCATCTTCCAGAACCTGGAGGAACAAATACACTTTACAGTAGTTTAAGGTATTTCTGGCACATTTAGAGATCATCTTCAAAAAATCTACCAGATAAGTCACCTACTCTGTTACCATTTCCAGTCCATAGAAAAAATCAACAATTTAGTGCCAGAAACTGCCTACAAACATCATTCATAGATATTCTGTAGAGTCAAACTCTGCATACATACTAGGGCGTCATCTGCTGGGGGAGCTACATACGTATGTTTATGTACTTGGAAATTCGATTGCAACAGTTACTTGATGTGTCCAGATCCTGAGGTTGTGAGCAGTCCTGGCTCGTATGGGGAGAAGCTGACTCTGTAGACCTCCTGAGAAATGGCCTTGCACCTCAGCACCACCTCCTCCTGCCTCCAGTTCCACACCGTCAATGTGTAGTCAGAAGCTCCGCCCACACTGGCCAGGAGAGTCCCATCGGGGTTGAATTGCACTGAGCTGAATGTGTGCATTGTGCCACCTGCAGGACAGAAATGCATGTTTAAAAGACAGCATAGGATGGTGGAAAAATAACATAGGTGTAGGAGGCGCTTCACCTCTGAGGATGTGGTACAGTCGTAATGATGGATATTCATAAATGAGGATGTTGGGCTGGTTTCCTTTCTCTGCTGCAACAAAGTTTTCTCTTCTAGGGTGAACCTTCAGACACAAAGTTAACATTTTTAACCAATATCCTTCTGTTTTCTTCAGCATAACAGGTTCCAGATTGATCATTAAGGCAAGAATAGATAGTTTAAAATATTCAAATTAAAAGTCAATAAGCCCCCAGGCAATTTGTGATTTCCCCAAATGTAAATGTTTTTCAGTGTAGAAAATATATGTCAGTAAATGTTTTTCAGTGTAGAAAATATAGCTGTTAAAATAAAGACGTTATCCATCCAAAACATCCTACCGTGATGGAGCCAATTCCTCCTCCGCTGCAGGAGCGTAGATACCTCTGCTCAGCTGTGTACATGTCCAGCAAAACCAGCAGGTTACCTGCTATGAACATCAGAGTTCTGTCGTCCAGCAGTTGAAGGTTGGCTCGTCGCCGACTGTCGTAACCAAATGAGTGACTGAAGGTAAAATGGATCAAGGAACAAATTCCAACACAAATTGTATTATAAATTCCTCTGATACAGGTACTTTTCTCACACTATCATGAGAACTAATATCACAGCTACCTGTAAATGCAACAGGCTGTTAATGTTTTGTTTTTATTTGAATCACTATTAACTTCAATATGGTAGAAATCTTTACTCACTACAGTCCATTTTTAAACTCTTTTTAGCCACCTGTACCCTTTTTTAGGGTAAAAGTTGGTAATATTCCATTATGTAGTGTTCTGTAATAGATATGGGCCAGTGGCAGCCTGGTGGTTAAAAGAGTGGATTGTGTTGTAGGTTGTATTGTTGGTTCAAATCCACTAACAGTAGTGCACTGGGCATGTCATCACATACTGCTCCTTGGACGCTCAGCTTGAAATGCCCCCTGCTCATTAGGATAAGGGGTTAAAACAGTGGTTCTCAATTTAACTTCTGTCATGCCCCCTCCACCCCCCTTGGGAACAGAAATGTTTTCACGCATTGAGAACTTAAAAATGTATATTTTAACTGTACAAACCACTGTGCGAGTTGCTGCCACCTTGTGGCTTTTGTTGTGCACAGCGGTGTCCTCTGCCACAATGATAATAAATCTGTTGTGCACAGCTGTGTCCTCTGCCACAATGATAATAAATCACTAGATAACAATAACATTTGAATCTTGACATCTTACACAACGTTTCCCAGTCAAGGATACGAGAGGTGCAAGAGGTTTTCTGGGATTTCAGAGCCGACTGTGACTGATGGTCCGGAGCTCACATCTTGGTAGTTGTAGTACAAGTCTGTAGAGAGCTGCTTTTTGGCCTTCTCTTCCTCATCCTGCTGCTGCTGCTTTTCGACCAATTGCTGGCAACCATGTGCTAATAGTTTTAAAAAACAAACAAAAAGGAAATACATTCTTCGCCAATATCCTTTTAAAACAACAATGTATATTTTCGTTGATAATTGGCCCCAGGTCGGCATTAATAATCTTATGGCTTGTAAAAAAATCATACACTTTTTAAATGTTTTCTGTTTCGCTGGGGCCGACGTTCTGAAGAGTAGAAACAGACTACACTACCCATATTGCACTGCACCGACATGCTAAAATAATTACAACAACAACAAAATGTACTCTAATTAACTTAACTAGAACACTCGCGGGGAAAAAACGAACTATTACCTTCACGGTGACTTTGTTCATCGGCCCGAGCGGCGACAAACGCTGGGTCTTCTTCGTCAGTCATTTTCAATCTTCACGACAGAACACGGTGATATTAACCGCTGTCTCGAGTTACAAAGATGGTAAACGTTTTTAATGGTACCACAAATACCGCGCCCTGATAAAAACAAAAGTTAGAAAACAAAGTATTGCAGTAGAACCATCATGTATTTTTCGCCTTTTAGCTCCAGAGTCTGCTTCAATTTGGAAGGGTTGAGTCGTTGCTATGCAACAACAACTCTTTCCGGATGGGCACCTACTGGTAAAGACTGGTAATTACAGGTAAAAACAAATACAATGAATTCGCTTAAACAATTTTCATATTCTTGATACTTTTTTTTACAGAAACTGATAGTGAATACAAGTATATTTTAACTACACATTATTTTATTGGTGAGGCGGAAGGTATTATATTTCCATTTTGAATGAACAAAAATCTTGTTGCAGTTAATGTGGCTGTAATAATGGCTGTAAGTTGGGGTCAAACGTGAGGTTGTGTACTTCATAAGTCAATTCAATTCAAGTAGAGGAAATATTGGTGAATGTATATACCAGTAGGGTACTGTCTGAATAAATCCACCTCAAAATGACATAATTATGTCTATAGAAAACATCAATATTATGCAGCAATTCTGCACTAAAGCAACAAACACACCAAGTACAATTTTTAACATACAAGCCACAACTGCCCCAAAAAAACCATTGCTTGGTTAGCAGAGGATGGTTTCGATCCATCGACCTCTGGGTTATGGGCCCAGCACGCTTCCTCTGCGCCACTCTGCTCTGTAGGTTACAGTGAGACTAGGGTTCTCAAACTATGTATTTAAATGTGGAGAAGGTTAGTTGACAATTTTCTGTCAAAAAATGGTCTTTCCCATGGCAGCGAAATGACTGCCATCAGTTCTGCAGTCACTGTAGGTAATCAAAATAATGTGCAAAATACTCATACTTACCATGAACTTGTATCACACATGATGTAAACATCCAGACCTTACTAGAATATGAAGAAACATGTCATGAGGTTGGTGTTTACTAAATATGTTATTTGGGTTTGTTTTTTTGTTTTTTTTCTTATTTTAAATGACTCGAGTCTTTAATGTATTGGAAGCCAATTTATTAGACAGCCTTAATACATAGTAGGTACACATGGAAGTATTGTTTGTGCTTCAACACTTGCAAACAAACAACTTTAGTTAAAACAGTTTGAGGACAGATCAACATTTCTAGTTTTAGTTGTTTTTTCCTTTTCCTCTGATAGATAATTTAGACATAAATAAAGTGTATTTAACAAATTTAGCCTCTATAGCAAATTATAATGGGAAAAAAATACAAGCATTTGCATCACAGAAAAGGCTTGAGTGCAATATACAAGTGGACAGAGGGGGGAATGGAAGGAACGAAAGAAGTTTTTATTCTTTTTTTTTTAGCAAAGCCATTCACCAGTACAGGGCTTGAAAACGTTGCACCAGGGGAAAAAAAACAAAACAAAAAAACAGAGAATAGGAGACAATAGTTTTTTTTCCCCAGCTAATCAGCTAAGGCTACAGCTAAAACACCACAAACACCAAGGCTTCATTTTTTTTAAAATCTGTTTTAAAGGAAGAGTAATCACTACATCACAGTCAGAAAGATCACCAGTCAACAATGAGACGCTAAAAACAGCAAACATATGGCATTTACATGACACACTACTCAGTGCATGGCCCAGTTCAACATCGTCACGAACCAATGAGAAGACAGGATACAATACTGAAGTACAAGTGCCCCCCCTCCCCGTAACATTAGCCATAATATAACAGCAAGCAAACAGCCGCTAGACGTTTAAGTGTGAAGTTTCAGCAAGGAAAGGAAAAAGGTGGGGAGGGGTTAATACTTCACAGTCTCGGCAGCCTGGGGAGGAAGGAATTAAGACCTAGTTTTTTTTTTTCCTTTTTACATTTTTTTTAAACAGAGCTTTGGTTTAAAACAAATACTTCACCAAAAGGTCAAGTTTGTTTGAGCTTTAACTATAATTGAGGCCAATTTGATTAACATGTCTGTAAGCATTGTTATTTGAGGCGGCGTCTAGTACAAAGTAGTTAACATGTCTGTAAGCATTGTTATTTATTTTTATTTGAGGCGGCGTCTAGTACAAAGTTCACTGAGACTCCTGGAGGACCTGAACAGTTTTACAGTTCAAAGGTCGCTGTGACCCAAAACATCTATGAAATGCACAGACATGAGAATGTTTGACATTTCCAAACAGATGTTCTCTTGGAATCACATATATGTTTTTTTGTAAGTTGATATGTCAAAATTAAAAATAAATAAATAAATAAATTAGATACTAGTTTTGTATACTACAAACATTGGACTTGGACAGGATGATTAACTGACCTAAGCTGACCATGACCTCAGAGATCTGTAGGAGGCCCGTTCAGCTTTTTATTCTGGCCCGCTAAACTTTTCAAAAATTGTATAAATTATTTATATTATCATTATTCTTCTGCCTTTTCCCCGCAATACCCACATTTCCCCAGTAGATGACATAGAAAATAATAAAAGCATTTTAGCATTTTATCTTTTATGCACGACTTTTACATGTCATTTATCTGCTCCTGACCGCGAGTCAAAAAGTTTGACCTGGCCAAGAGACCATTGCTTAAATCTGACGCACCAGTTGATGCATCACAAGAGAATGTTAAAATGATAGTTAGCTGTCATAGGAGTCAGGAAGACAAAAGTCAACTGAGTTCTGGCAACAGCAGTAGTGAATCATCTGTAAAATCTTTTTCTGAGAGAAAGTTCTGGTAAATAACCTCCTTCAGACACAGAACAACTTGATTTCAGTGAAGTATTCCAGCTCAGCTAAGTGTCTTTGGGGAAAAGCTAACGGCTAACTCTGCAGCTCCCAGAAGAACATCCACACTAGATACAAACACAATTCCACACAAATTCCAAGCATGCTACAGCAAATATACACGGGCAGGTCCCCTCCCATGAAATATATTTATATAATCATATATTGCATGTTGTCTGATATGGTTTATATTTTTTTTTACAACATCAACCTTTTTAACCCCACCTTATTTCACCCCTTCAACTGCAGGCTTTCACTTAAACTCACGGCAAAGACGAAAAATCAAGAAAAAAAAACAAAAAAACAAACAAAAAAAAAAAAACAGAACAAAAGTTCTACCATTTACACATCTAGCAGGGGTTTGTAGCATACAGTGTAACATTTGGTACTTTTCAGTTTTTAAATGGCCTTCTGCTCTTGGATAAGTTTATTTAGTTGCATCCATTGTAAAACATAAGAATACTTGCAACAACTTTACCCTTTGATACAACATATATATATTTTCCTTTTTTCAAGCAAGATGCATACTCAGTTGAGGACAGGGTTGTGAGAATGGGGGGATGTGGGTTCAATAAAGTGGGCGGGGAGAGAAAGAGAGAAAAGACGTGATTGGGTGTTTTTTTTTTGTTTGTTTGTTTGTTTGTTTTTTTTAGCACACACACACAGGCACTGGTTTGTTCATGGCCTTCAGCTGCTCCAACAGGCTGGTGGGGGTGAAGATGTTGGTCGAGCCTGGAGATGTGAACGCACGTAATCACACACATACACACACACACACACACACACACAGGCACATGAACACAGATACACAAAGATAAAGAGTGTTAGATCTGCACACATGAGGAAAATACTGTACTGTGAATGTGTACTGTATTGCAGTAGCAGTAAATTACAATACTTAGTAATTACTACTTATAACTAGGGTTAGATGTTATTTTGCAAAGATGCTTATGAATGAAAATGTACTTCTTTAAAGGGACAGTGCTGATTGTTGAAGTGTGGTTGTAGGAGGTACTGACACCAGGTTTTTGGTAACATGTTACATACGTTTAACACAAATTCTGCATGTTTTGGTCATGGGACTAACCCAGGCTTGGGCAAAGTTTTTGACTCGTGGGCCACAATGGGTCCCAAAATCTGACGACTGGGCGGGTCAGGAGCAGATAGATGGAGCGTTCGTGTGAACAAAGATGAGTGATATGTAAAAAGCTAAAATGCTAAAGAAAAAAAAAGAGAAGCTTTTAGCTTTGAAGACATTGCAGGAAAAAGGCAAAAGTGTAATGATAATATAGATAAATTAATAATACAATTTGGACAAGTTTGGCGGGCATCCAGCCCTCGGGCCGTAGTTTACCCATGCCTGGATTGACCCCTACAGGGTTAGGGTTCGGATTAGGATTAGGGTTAAATTGTAACCAGTGTTTGTTTTTATTTTTGTGACAGTCTTAGTCCAGTTACAGAGTTAAATTGTGACCAGTGTTTGTTTTTATTTTGTGACAGTCTTAGTCCAGTTACAGTCAATGAAACATTGTTATTTGTTTCGTTTTACTTGATGAAATTCATATTGGTCGACTAAATTTGATTTATTTATATTTAGTTCACACATAATATAATCATGTTTTTTTTTTATCTAAACATACTATTTAATTTACTATTTAGTACTTATTAATCATCTGTTATTATTTTACAACAAACTACGCAGTACTAACTACACAACTCATTAACATACATGCAGTTGTGTTATTTAAACAACATCATTCATCATTCACTAATTTCCCATTCAGCTTTTGATAATCCATCCTGTAAAGTGTCGCTGGTGATGGTGTATTGCAAGTTGCATAATATTCACTGGCAGTATTGCAGGAATGATTGTTGTTGTTTTGACAAAGGTTCAAGGTTCTGTTCTAGTGGGAACACTTTGTATGTGTCAGTATCTCTCACAACTACACTTGGACTAAGAATGTAACTGATACAAAAGACCAAATCCCCCCAGAGCAGAGATGACTGACTCCTAAACATGAGTCCAAATCTGAGGGTTGGCTTCTATGGTAAGTCCTAAAGTAACATTCACTTGTCTTTCTTGATCTAAACTTCTTGTCTCACAAACTCATGACGCTGTGTTAAGTCACATGCAGCTTTTATGATGGCACACATATCAGTGACGGCACCACACAACTGACATGAGCTTAAAAAAGTTAGGTGAGCCACAGGAAAACCACACCATCTGCCTCAGCAGCCCAGCCAATAAGATGTTAGAAAAATGTTCACATGACCCTGTTGATTAAAGGGAGCATGCAAAAAAAGGTGGGAAATTAAAGCTTTACAAAGCAGGAAAAAGCAGAAGAAAGCAGATTTTCTCTGTGTGTCATCTGTCAGTCAGAGTCAAACTGTGAGATGAAGGAAGTTTAACAAGACAGTGATGACACTGTTGTGATCACTGAAGACACGTTGAAAACATTGTGAGGCCTGGAAGGTGCTGACAGGAGTAAATCAAACATTGATCTCACGTCTTCATAATTAAGCAGGGTTTTTTTTTTTTTTTTTTA